GACTATTCACAATATTTGACTTAAATTTCCACAAGAAGTCGAGTCATGAAAATATCGCTCCAATTGTTTTTCAGGAATGGCGACGTATGCGCGAGTTTTTCAGTGTTGTGCGCAGCGTAAGCCACTCACCCATAAAATTCATATATTTAGTTTATTTATTCGGTTGACGTGACAGGGCACAATCAACAAATAAACACAACACATTAAATAACTTAAAACCAGTATACAACTGAACACAACTTCATGTTCACCAAATCCTATATAGCAAGTCACTCAAAAACTCCATAAAGCTTTTGAGTGTTCTCCTCGCTGTCCTTCTCAATTGACGCCTGTTCATATTTTAGAGGAACGAACGGAGTTGGGTCCAGTTTTGCCCTGCCGTCGCAATGAGGACCTAGACACCGAGTCTTCTTTGACGGAGCCACGCTTGCTCACCTGGATATTTCATGCCATTGCCATATTGCTACATATGCCTAGCCAGGAACAACAGTCTTGTTAATCAGTCTCGGTCGCATTACTTGAAAATTCATATGCGACCTGTACCACCAAATGAAGCAGATGTGTAGCCAAAAAGGTTTTCCTTCTCCTTATTGCATCTCACGATCACCATTCACTGTTCGGTACAGAGAAAGGGGCGAAAACCCTGATGTTACCAAAGCCCACGATGCTTATGTCGAACAAGTACACGAAAAGCCCTGAAAGCTTTTGTCCACGGTATTCATGGTAGTGAAAAAGAAAAGTACCCGTCATCATTGATATTCTGCAGTATCTGCGTCAAAGTGAAACTGCTGTGTTATTTCTGGTGTTAAATACAAGCCCTAGCTGCAGCAGGTGTGCCACTTCCTTTGCAAAGTGCACTGAAGTGGGGCTGCACAGTAATGATACCCTGGCGCCATCCCTCGACACCACCAGCTCAAATGAACTTATCTAAAAAATGTTCGCCATGATTCCTGAAAAAAACCCCATTCGTTATCAGTTATCTGCAACTCTGCTACACGGCTAGTAACGCGCGTAACAGTAGATGGCTAAACGTGCTATCTATGTACAGGGGGGGGGGGCAAAAAAAGTCACTTCGACCGAGTCACATATCAGCAAAGTTTTCGCTGCCCAGACAGAGGACGTGGATACGAGTACCAGGGCGGAAGATACCCAAGATGTTCCTCTATAAGTTACACAGCAAAGTTGGCGGACCTACTAAGTTGGTATCCGGAGTTCCTACAAGAGCATCCATGGACTTGCAGTGTTGGCGGCCCACTGCCCTTCTGCGCTGACTACCTCTCCACTCATTGCTTGCAGCTATAGGTCTTGTATTACCATGAGTGTTTTTTCACCTTATCGGAGTTTTTTTTTCCTCATACACTGTTATTTATCTCGACCATTGTAACTAGTTTGCCGATAATAAATCATAAATCATAAATCATAAGCAGGAGCTGGCTCTCGCCCATCACCTTCATGTACACCAAAATATGAAGTCATCTCCAGTCGCAGCCTGACTGGAGAAGACCTTTGGAATTCATGTCACCTCCAAACAGCTGCGAAACTTCTAGTATGGAGTCACCCATGGATAGCTACCTGGAGACCAGTACTCTCGATCTGGATGACCTCCAACATCGAGCAGCTCCGACAACGTCGCTACGGTCTAGGACATCATCTTCACCGTAGTCGCCGAGGCGCGAGTTGATGGTATGGACCGGAGTACCTGAATGGGAAGACCGATATTTTCTTTGTAGACCCGGACTGAAGGTGAGCGCTGGCGGTTACATCGAGCAACTCGAGAAGAATATCCTCCCTACATGTCGTCGCCCGTACCTTCTTGGAAACTTTGTACTGCTACAGGTTTGGGTGCCACCACATGGAATCGAAGTGTTGGAAAAACTCTCGCCTACTTAGGAAGGGAAGGGCGTTTAGTACCTGAAGAAGATGAAATTTTCAAGTATGTCCCCTGACTCTCAATTACCGGGTTCGGGAAGAGCTCAACAAGGGGGGGGGGCTACAGTGGCCGAGAAATCAACTGTCTCGCTGAAGCCCTGCGGAAATGTTCCGGGAGTATGCGCTTGTGCGTTCTATGAACGGAGTGTCTCCCTTTTTGCACTTCCCTCCTCCCCCAACTGCACATAGGTGACAAGCTTCTCAGGTGCCCGAGATGACTCGTATCAACGGCTATAGTACTCAGTGGAGGTTTTGCATTTATCCCATCTGCCTTTTCTTTCTTACTCTAATAACTATCATGATATAAAGCTCTTTGAAGAGAGAAAGTCTTGTCTCTTTCGTGTTTATAGACTGAACTTGCCTGTACTACACCTCAATATTATCTTCTAGTAGTCTTTCCCTCTAAGCTTCTCCTCACTCTCGATCAGCGGAATAGCAGTACATATACCCGCGCAAGATCCTGCGAGCATTCGCTGATACAATAAAACTGCAACCGCCATGTACGGCTTTCCATGAACCTCGGCATTGTGATAACTGTAAGATTTCTTGATTGAACTCCACACGATGTTGCCAAACCACCTTTATTGGCTTACGTTTCGGCGGGATCGCCTTCTTCAGAGCCTGAAAGGATCGAAGCAATTTATGACTACCCGACCAAACGTCTCCACTACCCTACTGAAGTTCGAGTACATTACAGGCCATCACCTAATCGTAAGAGGGGGCACTCACCGCAACACAGTCCGATCTTCGAGACCAGCAAGCCGGCAGTAGGACCTCCTCGGACTGTTCCTCATTCAGGGTCACTCTTGGAAGGCCATCCTTATATAAGGCCTCAGCTCCCGCGCTTATTGTGAAGCATTCCCCTTTCCCCGTTCCTTTCCCCGTTCATTTTTGGATTGGTGACCTCAAAAATGCCTCGAGGGTTTTGCGTGCAGATGTCTGCGATTCTCGCGCCAAGACCCTGACCTCGACCCCAAAATCGTCCCCGTCATGGACTTGAACCCTGTGGGCCCCTAAGGCAGTCGACAAACGTGACCTACTTTTGCCGTCCAGGTGCTCCTTCACCCTCACGCTGATCGGCCGCGATGTTTCACCGATGTACTCATCCCCCAACTACAACAGGTGATCCTGTAGACCACCCCCGAGATGGACAGTCGCCATCTCTGTCAGTCGGGCAAACACGCAAGACTACTGCAACCATTTAAAAGACCTTACATGCTAAGCTTTGGGTAAAAATGAAGGAGAGAAAAGTGCGAAAGTCGTGAGATTCTCCTAAGCTAGAACAAAGCTATTCAGAGTCAACGAGGGAACCGGTCCGGATACATGATGTTAGGTCGGTTAACCATTGCCTTGCGCGCCCAACGTACAGTTATATCACCACGACCAGTCGGGTCGCAATCAGCGGTTCCCACCTGCGGCCTTCCCACCAGTGGCTGATTCCTTCCTACATCGATCATTGCTCGATCACCATTGGTAGAGCAAGGCAGCCGGACGCGAGCTCGTGCCGCGCTGCGCTCGCCGCCTCCGACAAACTGCATGTTACAAACTATACACCGAACGCTGCGATGATCCCGGAATTTCTCTTTTCCATTAACGTTGCTCGAAGTGATCGAAAGTATGAATTACGTGTTGGAATTTCCATCACATGAGATTTTCTGAGACAAGCTATACACTCACTTCCAATCTTTCCATGTGCGAGGTGAATGGGTTCGCAGCTGCAGTATCGTGCCACTTTGTGCCCTGGAAAGCGGAAATCGGGCTAGAGAGTAGTGATACCCGGGTGCCTCTTCCATGCTCTCTCCGCATTATCCTCAATGTGCAGCACTCGCTTCGATAACAAGATCCCGCAGCGGTAGAGAACAACTAGACGTGACAGATCTCAGACAAGCAGCGCGTTTGGCTATGGTTAGGCGCGTGCCTGGCAATGTTGCAGCGTGGGTGAAGTATGGAGAGTATTTCTACCCTCCAGTCAGTTTCAGTGCATTTTTGACCGAAAAAGCTAGCAGGTCCTTGCAGTTGAGGACCCATTCACATCGCAGATGGCAGTGGTCAGAATCTACGGACTGCACAGTTCGCCTTTAAGCGCAGATCTTTTCATTACTACTGCAGTCGCAGTAGACGAGCTCCATGGAGGCTTGATAACCCTGATCGGGAGTCCTGATCCCTGCAAAAATGGTATTGCGGGCACTAAGTATGTACTTGCCTGTACGTAATATGTAAATTGCGGGATCCCCTTAGGCCGTCCCGTCAACCTCATTTTGAAAGCGGAAAATTGGACGAGGAGCTTTTCTGAGCGCCACTACAGGTCGCTGTGACTTGTTGGGGGACTGTTCGGCTGCTCTGCAGGTTTTTCAATATTTCAGTACAGTCTCTCAGCAATTCGTGCAGTATAAAGTGTAAGCACTTATATTTTTGGACCCCATAACCCTCCGCGAGGCTTACCACTGGGAGTACCTACATTATTTCCTTTAAGAACCGGTCGACGTGAGTAGAGACCACAATAGAGAAAAAATCTCAACTACGATCTGTCCCAGAGAGGTGCATTTCTACCGATCTCCCGCCGTGTTGTGTTATAGGCTTCAGTTTCACGCGGCGCTGAAGGATGTGACGCTTTATGTGCTAATCATTACCCTTTCCTTGAGTATGACGAGCCCTTTATGAAGTTTATGTGAGAGCAATTACCGTATCAAACCGCAATCTTAATATAGTTCCAAATCCTTTTGTTCTCAGCTATCTCTCACCTTTTCAAGAACTGCGAAAGTAACCCTCTCCTCGGAAACGCCTTCGGGTGAACCAAAAATATCTACGGAAGAGAGACTCCTTTTCACAAGAATAGAATGTCAAGTTGACATTCGTTCTAATTGGACGAACTCTTGCTTTACCAACATTTGCGGCCAAATGTAGCAGTCGTAGCAGCCATGATCCAGTTCTCAGTAACACGAGGAACGAGGGCGACAAAATGTCCCGACAGCGGATTATGACAAGAGTGAAAAGGTGGTGATGACGGCTTCGTGGATTTCGCTAGCGCCGCCCATTTACCATATAAAGGCGTCGACATCGGCGCGTCGACGATGATTTTCACTGCGATGCCATTCGACAATCCATCCCTACAACGAGAGGAACAACTCAAGAAGAAAACCAGTAAGTTCTACTTCAGTATACCAGTTTCTAGCCAAGATTTAACCCCCATAGCTCTTTCTGTTTTCAAAAAACAGCCACTCCTCTGCCCAGCTAGCACTATTGCTCCTTCCATAATGGGTAAAGGTCAAGAACTTGCTCAATGAGCGGGAGAAGAGGGTTTCTAGCGGAAGCTCCAGAAATCAAACTCTCCGAACTTATTGACTCTTGAATAGCGGTGTTATCCCTCTCAAAACGGAATCTATCCCTCTCAAAATGAAAGCTCACCTTTTCATGGTTCAGTGTACCCTAGGTAACAGAGCAATCTAATAAAGGAAGGCAGCGGTAGTGGATGGTCCCAGCTGGGAGGCATATGGTTAGGATATCGCCTATCATTCCATGCTTGTCTGAATGATTGCTCTTCTCTTTCCTCTCCAGTAGGAACCCGCAAACCATCCTTTACCGTACAACTTCTTCATAGATAGGCCAGTAGAATTCTACGTAGGACCGTCATATTTTTGTTCAGCTCCGTTTACCCCTAATGCCTGTTAGCTCTTGTAAACGACAGCTAGACTTCGCTATTTCCTTAGCTACTTCATAAGAAGGTTTCGTCAGAGCGTTAAGTCGTTTCCGATTTATTACTGGCTAATCCGGATTTGAATGAAAGCCTCCATCATTTTCTGGAATGTACGGACAGCCCTTTAGCTGATGGTGATAAAACAGTTGACCTTTAGGATTTCACGTGAATTTCGACGTAAAGATTAGCACGCATTAGGGCTATAAACAGCTACTCGAACAACATCCTCTAGAAGCCGTGCCAGCACGTTCCCAAAATGTGAGGGGATAAAATAATGAAGGATAAAGTTTTTCGAGTTGACTAACGCTTTTCGGGTTGCGTCACGCACTCTACTTCCACTCAGAATCGCACTTAGCTTGGAACTACCGAGGGGAAAGCCACTGTTTCGTACTTCCAGAATTTTTTTCGCTAAATAACATACCTCTGAAGGGCCGGGAGTGAACCAGGAACTGACCCCAGGTCCCTGCACGTGCTCAGTAGTGCCTCTAGAAATTATAAAAAACTCTGGCTCACGTGCATGAAAGTGGCACGTATAGGAGTCGAACTGAGATTTGACCCTAAGACCCTAGACGTGATAAGCAGCTTGAGAGGCAGGAAGGGGAGTCCATCCGACGCTCCCCTGCCTCTCAAGCTGCTTATCACAGGCCAAACAACCCTTCCAAGCTCGCAAGCCAGTAACCATATCAGCACCTAAGTGAATAGCAATAAAAGTCAGATAAATGAAAACTAATGTTGAAGTTATTTTTAACTCTTCGAGTTTTTACAGTGAAACGACTCACCTGCCGAAAATGCGAAGGACATGGCTTCATTTCGGTACTGAAAGGTCATGCGGCCATTTGTCCGTTTAACGAGTGCAGCTGCGAACGGGTTAGTTATCGTAATCATGATTGTCGCTCGTTATCACCTCATAATTACTCTTTTCCAGTGCTCATCAGTGATGAGTATGAGAGCGAATGCACTGATTCGTCGTTTCCGCCATCGACAACCCGGGCAGAATCTGGCTGTACTGAAGACTATTCGCTCGAAAAATGGCAACATGCGCTTGAGAATCGTTCCTAAAGGGGATCAAGTCGACGGTGAGCGATTCAACAAATCTCTTTGAATCAAATACCTATATGGGCAAGCTTTTTCCAAAGGTACAACGATCAGTACACCGACGAGTCGTCAGCTCGAGCCTACGTAGTCTCATCATCTGCAACGCTGTCTTCATCGGCTTCTGGTTCATCGTCACCTTCTTTGCCCACCTCTCCACCTCTTCTGCCCACAAATGTTACCACTCCTCTACTTCCAACATTCAACCAGGACATTCTATTTGAATACCTCCAGCAAATATTGCAAGCAAGGTCAGTCTTGAAGATACTCTGGACTTTGGGATCCAGCTCATCATAATCCCATAACGATCAGGTGTAAAAGGACTAAATTTCAGACTCTACTCCGAGCTCCTCAAGCAGCAATCAGCCCCGTTCGACCCTCGGAAACGCCTCGGAACGGTAAGCTATCACCTAGCTCCTATAGATCCCCTTCCACCAAAACCTCAACTTTTCAGATTGATCCAATCTCCCCTCTTCTGGCGAACACCCTGCTCTCCTCAGTGCAGCAACCACTTCAGTACTTCTCAGTAGTATAGCTGAAGCCGCAGACCAGGCAATCGACATTTGGGCTTCTCTACCGTATCTCATCGAACCTCGATCCCAATTTCCTATTCATGTGTTTGTGGGTAAATGCACATACAGTCCATGTCCCCGATATGGAGAGGGCGTGGACGCGTATTCATTGTGAACATGGAGATATGCTAGTGGGCGGGATATTGCCATTTGAGAGAACTGCCATCCTGTCCTTGTGCTCTAGCAAGACATGATTGCAACTGACCCAAAACAGCAATATCCCAGGCAAAACTCAGCCGACGCCACGCTCAGAAGAAAATACGCGGCCACGCCCTGCCCATGTTCGAGGTATGGAGTATACTTAGATGCTCAGTGAATTAGCGACATTCCATTGTCAATTGTACACAATGCAGTTAATAAATCATTACATGAGGGTACAGACTATTTATTCAAAGCCGACTGCTTCCAAATAACAATCTACTAACAACATGACACGATCTTATCTAAACTGACTCTACATACACTACTGTACAATGAGCGTTTTGAGAACGTGAGAAGGCCAGCACCAAAATTGACGGAGGTCATTCTTTCTGCAGAGATGTATGGCACGTTCGCTGGCACACTAACTATTTACATTCATTCTAAACTAACCACTGCCTAATAATAGATGATTAGACTAGGGCTCAGAATGCTACGCTGAGAATCCGACCTATGGGCTATACAATTGGACAGTTCGTCGCTAGCACCTGGGAGCCTTATTCGCTATAGCCAACGAATTCAATGGTAACCAGCGAGAACCTTGTCTTCCTACGCTGATTTGCTCGGCTCACTAGAACTTTTAGTGATAACATGCCAAACAAACCCAGACATAGATTTTGGTCTTGCTTGTAGGCTCCTTACCCTCCAAATACGTGATGGATTGGCTGCTTACTACTTTTACAAAGCAATAGCTGGTCCTTCTACTTAGAGAGCCCTAAATAGCACCTAACGAACAAATTAGAAATCTCGAAAATGTCTTCGAATAACATTGCACCTTGGATGACGTCTGTTTCAGTCCTACTACAGTACTAGGAATCGAAAATCGGAGCCTATTTGAAGACGCAGTCGGAGATCAACGCTGCAGCAACGAGGTGAAAGGGTTGCAAGCAGTGTACCGTGACGCTAAGGTACTACAGTGAGCTGAATGAACCAAGCCAGGAAATACTAGCTATTTGCTGCGCGTCGCCGTAACGTGGATCTCCTGACCCGCATAATATGCCAACCAATAACAAGAACACCCGTGATCGGCAAGAGAATTGGTGTACTAGCAAGACATGCGGATAGTACTGGGTTAGCTCCAGGAGAAGTACGGAGCTACACCCATGATTCGCTGAATGAGCGCAGGATGGGATAGGGGAAAGACGGGTTATATGACCGACGAGGATACCTTACTTGTAAACGGATTGGGTTCATTGCTGAATAAGCACAGATTATATGATTCAACTGTTAACCAGCATGAAGACTTCAGTAATTTCTGAGGTCAACGGGAAGCGTCATGCACTTCACAAAAATGATGAGCTAGGCGCAAAATGCTTGACCTCAGGAACCGGACAACTCATGCTTTTTCGGCAAAAGCACTATCTCCATTACATCACACGAGCCGCCTTCAACCCTCCACAACTAACAGTGACCTCATGGTCAGGCAAGGTGATGGCATAAAACCCATCAAGCCGGGATTAGCATAACAGCCATTGAGCTGATGGTGAGAAGGTCGAAGACTGCTCAGTCATGTAAGAGATAGCACACTCGCCAGGACAGCATGCGCTTAGGGACCTTGTCCCGCCTGATGTCATATCTTTTGCCCATGAATCATTCTTCACCAATCACAGATGTTTTCCATGTACTTCACCTACTGTCAACACCTACTGTGAAACCTAGGACTAGGAATACGTAAATGGGACTAGACATAACGGGGTTATATTAGTATAATATTAACTATTTCGGCGCCATATTAATTATTGAGCAAACCGTATCAGCTACTTTAGATCGCTTTTATGAGCACCACTGCTCATATGTCAAGCTCATCGGCAATGTCGGCATTGACGTTGCTCACATCATCCTACAATCATCTCGTTCAGCTGCACGTTCCGCTTGATAGATGTTGAACGCATTCGCGAACTGCCGTTGGTCCAGTATGTAGTCCACCACTGCCTGGAATAACACTGTTAATTCAGCGAGGGGGGCCACAAGGCGTTACACTTTGCCAACAGCTAATGTTTGCAATTGGCGGCATTTACAAATCTATTAGAGTTGACTTCGATGCTCTCTGCCCTGACTTTCTTCACAATCAGGGCGGAATTTTTGGCGACTAGCTCAACCAGTATTATTCATCTTTATATCATTTTTTTTACACGAGTTTCGCCCGCTGGTTACTTTACTCACGCCGCCCCAGAAGTGACGTAGTATCCGCTTCATGACTCGGCGCGCCATTTCGGAATACCACTTTTCTCCAAAGAGTTAAACTTGTATACCAGTAGCACAGCGTGTATGTTCACGCCATAATTCACAAATTATGAACTATTGCGTGTCTGCCACCGAAATGGCGGGCGCGCTTAATTAGGCGATAGGCCGCGGGTGTGTGAAGCTGTTATCGGCGTGTGCTAGTCTGGCTCAGAATAGTGAGCATTGGAGGTGAACGCAGGGCCGCCGAAAACTTGAGTATTAGTAATATTGTGATACGCATCTCCATGACTCTTTGAAAATGTAAGGTTGCAACGAGTTTGGTGCCCGGATGTGTTGCGCGCGCCAAGATAGCGTCGCATCTGAGAGATCTCCTCCGCCCTGCTTTGACGCAACAGATACAACCTGTTTCCAAAAACAGTATAGTTCCTGGACATTTTCCCAAGTCGGCACGGAACGAAGGCGTATTTGGGGCGTATTCGAATGCTCTGCAGCTCGTCTGGAATCCAGTGCTGCTTCACGTTTCCGGGTAATCCTAGTGAAGACGAGAAAAGCTGTCATAAATGAAATAAAATTTCAGCTCACAAGTGTCAACAAGATGAGGAAGGAATCCACTTCGCCACAACTCGCTCCACCTCGCACAACCAACCCAAGTACATGAACGGCCTAGGCTTCAGAAGTCCGTTACATTCACCATATTCACCAGACCTAGCCACCCTCCCCAATAATCTTCAAGCATCTCGGCAGCTTCCTTAAGTAGAAATGCTTGCCAACAGCTTTCTCGTGGAGAAATGCTCTCAAAGCTGCTGTGGCATTTGCCGATTTTATCGCCTCTTGATCTCTTTCATAAGAGCGGAATCAGAGAACTGTTTCGCGTCGGCGGAAGCGTGTTGATAGTAATGGTTGCTATTGTGATTAATGAATTTCTATTTAAGCCGATTCGAAGTTTGATCGAAGACTGTAAGGATTTAAAGATTTGCACGAGTTATCCCACCCAGCAACCAACTGCGTAGTGTGTTATGGCACGTGAAATGGCAATGTGGTCCTGACATACGACATGCCCACACACCTTCAAACATCTTTCCTGCAGAAATGGATATTTGTCTGTAAATAGATGACACTCCAAGGCTACACGGCGTTCCCTTTCACCGCACCTCTACCTTCAATGAGGTACTCTATTGAAAAGTGTTCAGCTTCCGACGGTATCAATCCAACATCTGCCTTGACATTTGGTGAAATCTGCAGTTAGTCGCGTCGATAAGAAGTGATTCACTAAAGCCGATGAAAACTAAGGATGCAAACGTGTGCAATTAATCGCATAGACGGGCGATTTCTTCGTGACGCATCAACAAGGAAGTTCATGTAGTTATAATATAAATGTTCCTTGATGTGGGGAAGTTCATACAAAAGTTCCTTGTCATTCCACCAATATAAACTGGTTAGTTATTTTTATTCTCTTTGTTGGGTAGAAAGGCTTGATGTCTACAAAGGAACGAGCTTATAGTTAAGCACTTTACAACAAGAATAGTTCTTCTTTCAAGAGGCGAACTGTGAAGTTCACTGTCAAGCCTAATAAAGCAGTCATTACAGGAGGTAAACTCTTTCATGGCGTTCTGTGCTTAAAGACACATGGTACGCTCAAACACATTGAGGGTGTATGAGACTATCAGCCCCCCAGCTGTCGATGTGTCGTGGTCCCCCCCGCCCAAAACTGCACGGGGTCAGAGTACGGGGCCGTGGGAAAGTCGTAATTCCTTGCTACACCGCCCATTTCGCAAACTCTAACACCGTCCGCGCGGCGCGGTCGCGTGCAGCTCTCTTGGCTTTTTGCCAAGTCCTGTAATTGCGCTTTGGAATACAAGTACAACGCAATTTCTTTATGCGGATAACATTTTAGGTGCTGCAAAATAAGAACCGAAGATGATGACGAGGGCTAGAACTCAAGAGCAACTGTGGTGCTTCTGCAATATCCCTCAGAGGCCGCGCATTCCCACAGAACATGACAATAAAAACGGCCTAAGCGTCCCACTCGTTAGTTTGAAGTATTTCTATAGCTTTAGAGCCGGATTCGAGCCGGATCGCAGAAATGCACACGCGATTTTAATTAATTTGCGTTTCCTTAGTTTTTTCAATTTTGTTTTATTTACATCTACATTCGTTGTTCTTCATTTCTAGCCTTTGTCATCTTCATCACCTTCTATTCGGACTTTGAAGCATGAGCAATACCTCAAATGTTAGGAAATTGCGTTTTGCTTGTATTGTCATGTTTTATTGTCATGTTGTCCGTTTTTGTCATGTTCTGTGGGAATGCGCGGCCTCTGAGGGATATTGCAGAAGCAGCACAGTTGCTCTTGAGTTCTAGCCCTCCATCTTCGGTTCTTATTTTGCAGCACCTAAAATGTTATCCGCATAAAGAAAGCGTTGTACTTGTATTCCAAAGCGCAATTACAGGACTTGGCAAAAGCCAAGAGAGCTGCACGCGACACGCGCCGCGCGGACGGTGTTAGTAAAAACGTGAGTTTGCGAAACGGGCGGTGTAGCAAGGAATTACGACTTTCCCACGGCCCCGTACTCTGACCCCGTG